TCGATGTGACCCTGAGGAAAAAATTGTTCAGTTTATTTTTCTGCATAATGTGACCCTGAGGCAAAAATTATTTTTTTTTTTTTTTTTTTTTTTAATCCTAATTCTCAATTATAAACAAGCAATGGGAGGCCGGGGACCTCACAATTCCACCCGGATGTTATCCCGGCAGCATCAGCCCAGATGAGTATCAAGCTCTTACCCTTCAACAAACAACTCTCATATAGGAGATTCTATATTCTATTACTACCTAAACAGATTACTCAACTCTTGCTCCCTTATAACTATCCTAGCAAAATACTTATGTTCTCCATCCATCTATCTATGTCATAGGAGATTCCTACTCTACCTATCTGCTTACTACTAAATACACAGACCTACAAGGCGGTCCGGCCCCAGTCTAATGCGAACGTGAGGAAACAAAATTCCCTTTTCCAAAAAAGACATTCTCCACCCTCCTACCCCTTGCGGTCTACTGTAACTGCCGACAGGAACCGAGTGCCCCTGGTTCTTACAACAAAACTATCCACCAGGGTCGGGAATCCTCACAATCCAGAACGCTAGCTACTACCCTTCTTAGTTTTACTTCAGCTAACTTGTAACCTCTAGTCGACCCTGTGGGGTGATCTTTGCCAGCCGCTCCTCGAAGGCCCAAGTTTCCCTGAACCATTTCAAGTTGGTCTGCTTGTCTCCTCGTTGCACTTTTCGGAGCCAGTCTGCTTTGATCTGAGTTCCCATCATACGTCTGAAGATTTTTTCCGCCTGCTGTTCCTGGAGTGGCGTCTCTTGGAATCGTCTCCCATTCCTGTCCAACAAGATAGTCCACATAATTGTCAATCTGGCCACTTGCGCAATGTACCCCCACCCCTTACTGGTTGACACCTCGAGGGGTAGGGTCCCTTACAAGACCCATCTCCTTCCTGTAAGGTTGTCCATCCCAGAGAAGGCCACCCAATGTCTCTCCCACCATTTCCATCATCTGTTCGAAACCTTACAGTCCCACCACAGGTGCTGCATTGACTCGATGTCTTCTGCACACCTGTCACATTGACTTCTCACCTCCATCCGACGGTCTTGGAGCCACTTAGCGGTGGGAACCGCAAGATGGGACTGTAGCCAGGCCAAGGAAGCTAACTTCTGGGAGGGGACGTCCTTCTGTTGAGACCAGAGTACCGTTAGTTCCTTCTTCGACGACGGTTCTATCTGCTACCAACATCAACACGTCTGGCTCTCCCGTCTGTTTTGGGGGGAGTCTTCGTACCCGGATCTCTTCAAGGCCGTTCAGTCCATATCTCCAGGAAATTCTTGAGATAGTTAGTTCAGGAAGCTTTTGTACCATTGGTACATACCTCTCCAACCAACATTTCCCTGACCCGTCTTCTGTCCATTCCTATAGTCTATAGTAGCAGGTCTCCTCACCGCTTGTCTCCACATACCATGTGTCAACTGGGTTTACTCCCTCTGGGCCTAGGAGTGCTAGCCAATCCTTGGGGATTCCTTCCTTCAACTCCAATATTCTGGCATCTTGGTGTGGAAGATGTGCCAGCTTGGCCTTCAGCTGTTCGTCCGACCTCCAAGAGTTTGTGAGTTCATCCCAAAGATCAGTCACCGTGGAAGTCCCGAGTTGTATCCATCTCATCCCGTAGTTGCCCGCCTTAGCATCTGCAGAAATGGGCAAACCCTCTTGGCTTCTGATGTTCGGGTTGCCGAACAGATGTTGCCTTTTCACTTCCTCTTTCGTTGTAGGCAGTTTCCTCAGTGGAGGTTTCATGCTCAGATGACGCCCTTCCAGAATGTGGACTTTATGTGCTTGTTGATGAAGCATCATAGAATATTGCCACCCATACATCTGACCGCGTGCTGAGCCCCCATTCTTCTACCAGTATGGTTTCCACCATGCATACCCAGTCTGTGTTGTCCCCTTTTCCTGCCACCTTCTCCGCCCACTTGCACAAAAGAGATATATTTTGGGCCTCCGGATCAAGCAGTCCCAGACTCCCAGTCCTCCTTCTTCCCGGGGTCTGCAGCCACTTCCCATGCTACCTTGGATAAGTATCCTTGAGTTCTCTAGCTATCTGGTTTCCACAGAAAGCGGCGGGCTGTGTCTTTGATCAACTTCAAAGTACCTCCAGGGAACCTCCTCACCTTCCCTACATACCCTAGCAAGGCAAACGCCGAGGCTTTAAGTACTAATGCTCTACCAATTAGGGACAAATGCCTTGCCTTCCCCCAACTCTGAACTCTATTGTTCAACTTTTACACAATGATTTCGTTCTTCTCTAGTGCCACCTGCACTCCCAGAAACCTTTTGGCCCGTCCTGCGGGCACACGTTCCATTCCCCACTCTACCGCACTGTTAAACTGTTTCGGTAGGAAAAATAGCGATTTAGACCAGTTGACTGCGGCTTCAGACAGCTCCGCATAGATGAGCAGGCAGGACTTCAAGGTCTGTAGTGAGTCCACTGTGTTCTCTGAGACAGCGAAAAGGTCATCTGCCAACGCTTTAATCCTGCACTCCTTACCGTTCGGTAGTCTCAGCCCCCTGTAGTCCGGATGGTTTCTCAGGTTGCTGAGCAAGACCTCCAGCTAAACCACAAACAGCAGGGGGGCCAGATGACAACCCTGTCTTACGAACCTTGATAGAGTGAATTCTTCTGAGAGAAAGCCGTTTACACAGACTGAGGCTGTTGCACTGCCGTATAAAGCTACCACCCAGCCGCAGAAACTTTCCCCAAATCTCATGGTCTTCAACGCTGCCATCACAAACGACCAGTTTACTCTGTCGTAAGTTTTTTCCAAATCTAGCATCAACATAGAGGTATCACGTTCGTTCTTGTCAACGAGTTATAGGGCTTCGATCGCTGTGACTATATTTTCAAAAATAGACCTTCCTTTCACAAAAACCCTTTGCTCTTCGCCTATCAGACTAGGGAGATGCCTGCCTAATCTTACCGCTAGGGTTTTAGCTAGGAGCTTATAACTTACATTAAGCAGTGAAATAGGTCTGTAGTTTCGCACTTCGTCTTGACCTCCTTTCTTGTACAGCAGGGTGATAATCCCTCTAGCCATCGTACGACCTAGTTTTTCCCCCTCTCTGATTTTGTTGAACAGTTTGACCAAATCCCCAACTAGCATCTCCCAGTGAGTAACAAAGAATTCAATGGGCAAGCCATCATCCCCCGACGCTTTCCCTCTTGCCAGGGATAGCATTGTTTGAGTGAGTTCTTCTGCCGAGACCGGTTTTTTCAAATCCAAGACTCCTGTCTGTGACAGTCTACCTGGTACTTGGTCCCAAAAGGGGGACTCCAGGGACAAATCTGTATGAAATCCCTGTTGCGGATACCTTGATGTGAGGATATTGCTGTAATATGCCGCTGCATACTCACAAATATCCTTATTCGATCGTGCCAGAGATGCACCCGGTCTCAAAGGGTGTTTCAATTCACTCACTTGAGCCCTCTTGTTTGCAGGGAGCAACTTTCTGAATGTATCTTTGGACATTTTGTCCCCTGATGCTATACCTTTCTCTTGTAAGATATGTTCCCATCTTTTCTGCTTTTCCACCTACATATCGTCCCAGACCTTCATTCTCTCTTGCCGCTTCTCTGCCCAGACCTGGTCCGAAATTGGATGATCCCCCATCCTCCGTTTTGCCTCTTCCACTTTCTTCCTGCATTCCGTTTCTTTAGCGTTTCTGAGGTATGCTGCTATTCTTGAGAGGGTGTCCAACCTATAAGAGATAATGCGAAGGCCTGCGTCCAGCCACTCTGCCTTGGATTCAAAGTGTTCCTCCGCCTGCTTCCACTGTTTCCAAAAGGTTTCCGTCCAGTCCCGGATGCCTTCATCCTCAAGATTGATTGTATTGAGTCTGAAGCAGTCAGGACCCCGTGCCCGTTCTCTGCCCGTACAAACACTGATGACCACCGGTTTATGATATGATAATGAGGCCGATTCCTCTTGAGCAGACTGCACCATTTTGGTCAGCTGGCTGGATGTCAGAAAGACGTCTAACCGACGTTTGGCTCCGACAACCGGTCCTGCGTTCCCAAACCACGTATAGCTTGGAAATAAGGGGTTCATCAACCTATACATATCTTCAAGGGTCTATGCTTCTTTCCAACGAATCAGTGCTCTCTGGTCCGAATGAGTCCATGTGTTAGTCTCAGCATCTGCCTTTGAATCCAAGACAGTATTCCAGTCACCACCTACCACGAGTCTGTCAGACTCCGGGAAACTGTAAGGTAAGGATTCGAAAAATTCCCGGCGTTCCTTCTGTTCATTAGGGGCATAGACTGTTGCGAACGTCCAATCTTGCCCTTCTATCTGAACCTTGACCCAACACCATCGACCCCATAGGTCTGAGTCGCTGTCTACTAAGCTAGCCTTAATCCTTTTATGGAAGAGGATCTAGGATTTCACCCTCTTGCCTTTCTCCCTTCCTCCCGAGTCTCCAAGCCCTCTAATGTTCCATGTTGCTATCCTTAATTTATTCATTAACCCCTGATGGACCGCCTTGCAATTGGATGCGGTTTGAAGTACTATCCTCCTGGTTTGCCCCATTCGAAGACTCTGCCCAAGGATCGCTCAAATTTTTGGTGAACAGTTCCGAAGCGAAGTTTTGCCAAGACGACATCATATTCTTCAGTTCACCAAAGGCCGTAGTTGAAACACCTGGATCGACCACAATCTGCGATAACATCGTTAGAGAAGGATCAGCGAAGGCGTTAATTGACACGCTTGTTAATCCGACTCTGCTGATATTCGCCCACTGTTCTTCCTCAAATCTGGCATCAATAAGTGGGATAGAGTACCGAACCCTCTTCCCTCCCGGGAGGTCAACATCCATCTTCGGCATCAATCCGTCCGGACAGATCCTGAAGCTAAAGCGATCAACAAACATCTCTCTGACCTTGCGTAGGATGACCTCCAATGTTGCCAGGCCATCTATTTGCTGAGTTTGTAGCACCATTTTCCCCTTCTTATTAACCAATCCCACTACGTGGACTTCTTGTGCTTGCATCGTGCATATCAGGGGCATTAGCCAACATTCCTCATAGCCCCCCGCTCCTCCCTAGTGAGCTTCAACTCCCCCTGGGATATAAGTCGGTGAGGATATATGCATCTCGCTGCCACTCGGGTCCCGAGAGCAGCTTGGATTACCATCATGATGCAGATCGCCCGCTTGTACTTGGTGTATCTCCTTGACTCCGTCTGTCCCTGGTCCTATGCCGTCTCCCTGATACACCACCTGGCCTCTCTGTTCAGTATGTTGTCCTTGATAGGGGACAAAGGATCGCTGTGGTCCCAAGGTTTGGCCATTCAGCTGGCCACTCGGAGTATGGCCTTGATATCCCACTGCCGCATGCATGTACTGATAGTTGCCGAATAGCTGTGGACTCATTTGGTATGTGGGTGTCGGTGGCATCGCCGTGTTCCCCATCGGCAAAAAGGTGCTAAGTGTCGGATCTTGGTTTAGAAGTTGGAATAGAGTCTGCAACTGGTAAATCTCTGCTTGTTGGTTGTTCATTGACGGGAGTACTTGCTGCTGCCGTTGTTGCCAGACTCCTTGCGGGGGTACCTGGTGTGCTTGCGAAGAGCTGAAGTTACTCCCACGTTGAACATTCGGGGTGCCACCCTGCATGTGAGTGGCCAATCCTTGTGGCCTGATAGGTTGAACTTCTCCGAACCGATGATTCCCGTGTGACGAGGACCCTGCTCCTGATGTGGTGCCCCTCCCCACGTGAATGTCTCTTGTAGCCTCTCTGATACTTCTATTTTGACCTCCGTTTGCTTCGCCACCTCGTCTTCGTCTTTCGTTGTTTCTCTGTATCTCTGATTCTCCTCTCTGTTCTAGTGGAAATTCTCCCATCCTCGGACAACCTTCTGTTGCCGTGTGGAAATACCAACAGCACATGTCACACCATGGGGTGTTTTTGCAAGCAAACTTGATGTGGTATATTTCTCCATCGTCAAGTTTGATGGGGAGTTCCTCCTCAAAACGATCTTCTGCTTCTCTTGCGAGCTCGAATTTCAGGTTCATGAGTTTTGGCCTTGACTTATCTGGCTCCGGGGGAAGAGAATTGATAATTCTTCCCATCGCCGATTCGACCATGCTTTCGACATGAAACATCACTCGTAAGGGGACTCTTAAAGCCATCACCCAAAAATTGGTTACATCTTCTGATCTGCGCCTTTCCACTAGCTCCGCTTTCGTCATCCATGGTTTAAACGCCATGCCGTATTCAATTCCACGAATGACTACTTTGTCTTCCCCTTTCGCTATCATCCACCTCGCCACTTCCCCTGACTTGGCTACGTACGAGAGAATGTTTGGCCCTTCCCCATGAATCCTACCTCTCTTAACTGACCTGTCGAAAACTCTCTCTCTGTACCATCCGTTCTCATACGCCCTCACTAAGTCCTCCCTAATTCGAAGGGGTAAGTCTCTTGCCTCTCCCTGAAATATCACGGTAACCGTTCTTTCTTTCAACCACGAGGTGACCAAGGTGTCGAGCCCCGTGTTTACTCTGAACAGACGAACTCCTCCTTCGACCACCCATTCTCCATGACAGAACTTCTCTGGTATGATGCCGTCCTCGTAACATTTCGCGATTAAGATCTCCATCCTATCTTCGTCTGACATCGGGATATCAGCTCTTGTCGGGGGAACTGCCATTCTCCCATTTGCCTGACCTGCTCCTGCTGACTGGTCTAAGACTTCCATCTCCCATTCTCTCTTGGTCTGACCTGTTCCTACTTCCTATGACTTAGTCAACTTCTCACGTCGAAGGCGGGCGCCCACGCGCTCGCCCAACACTCTCGACTCACGCGACAACTTGGTTTGCAAGCTCTCTATCCCCCAGGCTCAACGACGGGAAGTCGTAGCTCTCGGCATCTCCGAGGCGGCGTCTACCCTAGTCGCCTGCTCGTATTGGCAGCGGGTCAAGCGACCGTCGAGAACGGATGCGGCAGAGCTACGGAATTAGCGCTGCATGCATCCGGTAACGCAAGTTCGGAGCGCTAACGCGCAGTCCCCTCGCGTCCCTGAACCCTAGCCAGCCATCCTGTTTTTTTTTTTTTAAAGCTACATTATTCTCTCAATTTCACCTCACGCTACCTACCTACCACTACTCCTAATTGTAGGCATACGGGGAACCCCGTAGCAGCCAGAACCGTGTTCACTAGAGAACATGTGGGGGCTGCTCCCGACCTGCAGGTCGGTGATACCGGCTACTAGGGGACAGCCGGTAGCATCAGGGACCATGCCAACAGGACCAATCCCTGTGCCTCCCCTCAGGTCCCCTCCCCTATGAACATCAGCAGAATCTGCTAAATGCCAATCGGGGGATCCAGTGGTCTATCTCTAGGTGGCGGGTGCCAAGCATGCCCAGGAAGGTACATGAGGCGAATGGGGATTGCGAGCCTTACCAACTGAGTTAGGCCGCTGGATCATTTTTTTTTTTTTTTTTTTTTTTTTCCGGAAAGCATTGAACTTTATAAGAACATCAATAAATCGAGGCCGGGGACCTCATAATTCAACCCAGGAGATCCTGGCAGCCTCAGCCAGTTTTGCTTAAGAACCCCAACCAAAGACGGCTGCTACAAAAATTAGCCTAAGCTACCTGGAAATCAGGTCCTGGGTCTCAACAAAAGATCGACTGAGCTTTCCAAAAAAAATTCATCCTTGACGCACAGTAAAAAGTAATTGAATATTGCTCCTTGACCTCTGAGCCTTATCTAAATCTCTTCTTAGTGACTCAGAAGCTTCACAAATACTTGCGAGATCTAAAGCGATCTCTAGACTTACAAGTTAGTCACACAATCACGGAATCAGCCAGAGTTTATTCTCTGGGTTGATTTTACAAAGAACGCCCTTGAGTGACCAATTCTTCTTAAACCAATAGCTCCCTCGGCCTGTTCTCTGTCTTGCCTGATTCCATTCGGCCCTAATAGTCGCTCTGAGCATGAACTTCACCATAGCCCTTTGTTGCTGGGAGTTTACCTTTTCGTCCCTAAAAGCCTGTGCATTGCGAGCCTTCCATATTACTTCCAGCACTACGCCTCTGCAGGTCAGGGCCACATAGCCCCAGCCTTCTTGTAACTTTGCCTTTTTTGGCGGAATGCCAAACAGTATCCAATTGTCTGACCACTCCCAGTCCGAGCCGACCTGGGCCTCCCAAAAGGCTTTCCACCACATCCAAAGCTCGTCAGCCAGGGGGCAATATAGCCACAAGTGCTCTGTTGACTCCCAACCCCAGTTACATCGACGACAAGTAATACTCAAATCCATGCCTCTGGTATGTAGCCATAATGCTGAGGTAGTCACTTGCATGGACTGAGTCCACATTAAGCTCGCCGGCCTCTGAGACGGGATTTTCCTCAGGGTTCTCCATATCAAAGGAGAATCTGGAGGTTTCTCTGAGGGCCCCTTAATCTTTTGAAATCTCCTTACAGCCATATCCAGTGGTGGCTCTTTTTTCATTCGGCAAGCTGCTACACCGGTCTTTGGCACATATGCGCAAAGCGGGGTTTCCTTGCCCGTATTGGATTTCCATCCGTAAAGAGTTGGGTCGACTTTATACGAAGCGGCTACCCCTCCCAGGAGTATACCTCTTCGAACAGTTTTACTATCCTTGTTCACCCAAACTCTAACTTCTGTAAAATGTTTTGTCGAGTCAATGGTCTTTTCTTTTACCAAAGAAACATCCCTCCCCAGCTTCCCTACCCTACCCACCTCCCAGCATTCCACCCTCATCCCTTGATGGAGGTCTGGGCCCAAGACTCTCAGCACCTCCTCCAATCTTGCCGCCGATGAATCTATTAACCATGTGTCTATACTGTGTTCTGAATCCTGTTTCAACACCCCCTTCCATTGTCGGGGCAATGCTTCCAGTATAACCCCAAGATTCTCTTTAACTGCCCGTAGTCGGGGAAGTCTTTTTTTGATGCCCTCGACAGAAATCCAAGACTGGTTATCCTCGTCCCATATATGCTTAACTTGAAGGATTCCTTTTTCTATCCAAGACTTAGCAAAGCTACCTCCTTCAACTCCCACTGAGCAAAATGGGGTGCCTGTTTTAGATTTAATCAAATTGTTATCAAACAAGGATTGGTTGGCAATTTCCAATTTAGAGGACGGGGGGTTCAAAGGCATGGGGCGTATCTTGGACCAAACTTTAAGGATAGCGGTCCATATTCTAGACTTAACTCTTCTCCTCCCCATGTCTGTTTGCACTAGGCAAACCCACACCTGCTTACCATCGCTGAGCTCCCAATCCCTCTTAAAAATATATTCGGCCATCAAAATCCATCCTTTTTGCTCAGTATTCTCCATCAGGGCTTTAATAACCCATTTCGCCAGTAAGGCGATATTATGATCTCTAGGATCTAGGATGCCTAGGCCCCCTTCTGATCTGGGGAAAGTTACTTTATCCCACGCCACCCTTGTAATAAAGCCTTGATCTTCCGAGGCTGCAGGCTTCCAGGTGTAGCGTGATGCCACCTTCTTTATCGCTGCGTAGGCTCTATCGCCCAACCAGTGAACCGTCAAGGGGAACCACAGCAAAGAGAAGGCAGCCGCTGAGAGAACCAAAGCCCTGCCAAACAGTAACAACTTGTGGCTTCTGATCCAGCCCGTAATACGGGCACAGACCTTCTCCTGAAGAATCTTGTCTTGACCTGCAGCACAATCAGAGAGAGCCACTTGTACACCCAAAAACCGTTCGGACGAACCTTCCGGAACCTGCTTCAAGCCCCAATGGGCACAAATCTCATAGGGGGCGGGAAAAAAGTATGTGGATTTATCCCAGTTAATCGATGCCTCAGACAGCTGACAATATTCATCTAGTACTAGCCTAAGCTCAGTAAAGGCTGAGACTGTATTCTCACACGCGATTGTCAAGTCGTCAGCAATCGCTCCCCCCTTCCAATGAATGGAAGGGGGGATTCTCAAACCAACAATTTTCGGATTGTAACGGATATTATCTAATAAAACTTCTAGTTGGAGCACAAATAATAAAGGGGCCAAGGGACAACCCTGGTGCAGCGAGCGCGACAGCTGGAAATCCTCTGACAGGCGTCCGTTTATAATAACCGAAGACCGCGCCTGAGAGTACATTGCCTTGACATTATTACAAAAGTGGGGGCCGAAGCCCATCCTCGATAAGGTGGTTAGGACAAAAGTCCAGCCCACCTTGTCGTATGCTTTTTCCATGTCCAGGAGGAGTACGGCCACTTCCCTCCTTTCTCTAGATATTATTTCCAGGGCTTGGAGGGTAGACATTATATTTTCAAATATCGATCTACCCTTAACAAAGGCCCCTTGTTCCGGTCCAACCAGGAGGGGGAGTATGTCCGCTAGCCTGCTGGCATATGCTTTGGCCAATATTTTATAAGATACATTTAAAACTGATATTGGTCTGTAGTTTTTGACTTCGGCCTTATCACCCTTTTTATACAACAGTGAAATGACCCCTTGCAATAGGTCTCCCGGTAATCTGCCTGTTGTCCTGACATTATTAAATATATCACAGAGGAACGGACCAAAGGCTGGCCAACAGGCTAAATAAAGCTCAACGGGTAGACCATCGAGGCGTGGGCATTTGCCCAGAGCCATTTGTTTCACTGCCTTCCCCAGTTCAGCGACTGTGAACGGTTCATCTAGTGACAGAACCGCTGAATGTGGAAGTCTAATTGTAGTCCTGTCCCAGAAGTGGCTGGAAACTGAAAGATCAGTCCGNGCAACTGTGAACGGTTCATCTAGTGACAGAACCGCTGAATGTGGAAGTCTAATTGTAGTCCTGTCCCAGAAGTGGCTGGAAACTGAAAGATCAGTGTCCGAAGTGTCAAAAGGGCGACGAGTGGACACTATGTCCTTAAAATAGTCAAAGGCGTATGCACACATGGATGTCATGTCTGAAGCAGGAGTCTGGTCTATTGAGAAAGGGTGACGAAGCTCTCTTATCAGTGGTTTCGCCTGCCGCAGAATTAACGATCTAAAAGATAGCTTCGTCATCCGATCGTATCTGATTATACCACGGATCTGTAACCACTCCAACCATTCCGCCTGCTTCCTGACTTCCAGCTGTTCTAACTCCATCAATGCAGATTTCCTTTTCTCAGTCCACAGGAAGTCCGAAAATGGGTCTAATCCCATTTGGCTTTCAGCCTGACTCACCTCTTTTTTGAGCTTTAGTGCATGCCAGGTTTGGTTCGCAGCTTTCATTCTAGAGAAATTCATAAGAGCTACCCTAATTATGTTGATTCCTACTTCCGCCCATTCCAGCAGGTCCTCAAATAAGTCTTTCATAGTGTTCCAAACTGTCATTTGGTCTGTTACCCACTGCTTAATTCCCTCATCTTTAAGCATGTTCACATTCAGTCTAAATGGGGGTCTCTCTCTCTGAATGACTTCTGCAGAGACTACGTCCATCACCACTGGGTGATGGTCCGAAAGTGATTCTGTCCCTGGTAGCACGTCACACCAAAAACAGGTGTTCCATGGTGAGCCTCGTGCAAGGATGAAATCGAGTCTGCTCCTAGGGGCAGGAGTATTGTCTGAAGGCTTCGCCCCATACCAGGAATAGCCATTTAACTCTGGATTTAAAGTACGGAACACGTCTGTCAGTGAATAAGCATCCAATAAAGAGCTTAAGATACCCGCTTCGTGTCTGGGGGGAAAGACTGACAAGGAATCTAATCCTGGGATTAATATAGTATTTTTCTGCATAACATAGTTTTTTTTTCAGAGATTTTGGATTTTGTTTTTTTGTTTTTGCTGGGACCTTCCCTGGGGCTAAGTCCCACTAGCAGCGTTGAGCTACCTCAACGCCTGAATCTGGACGCTTTTGCGGAGATGTGTAGAAATGGTGTTGAGTTCCCTGAACTGCACGT